GAGAGAGAGAGAGAGAGAGAGAGAGAAAGGAAGAGACAAAAAGAAGAAAGAAAAAAAACAAAGAAAAAGAAAGAAGAAAAAAGAAAGAGAAAGAGAAAGAGAAAGAGAAAGAAAGAGAAAGAGAAAGAGAAAGAAAGAGAAAGAGAAAGAAAGAAAGAAAAAAGAAAGAGGAAGAAAGAAAGAGGAAGAGAAAGAGAGAGAGTGAGAGAGAGAGACCGATTGACCAAGGGAGGTCTGTAGGTAGAGAAGAACAGAACACACAAAAAGAAGAAAGAAAAAAAACAAAGAAAAAGAAAAAAAAAAAAAAAGAGAGAGAGAGAAAGAGAAAGAGAAAGAAAGAAAGAAAAAAGAAAGAGGAAGAAAGAAAGAGGAAGAGAAAGAGAGAGAGTGAGAGAGAGAGACCGATTGACCAAGGGAGGTCTGTAGGTAGAGAAGAACAGAACACCTGCTTTACACGTGTATGCTCATGTTCCTGTCACTCAAAACAGGTCTCTTTTCCCCAGCTCTATTTGTAAATTTGGTGAACCACAGCTAATTATGGTGGTCGAGCCAGAGCCAAAAGGACCAGTGGCTTAGCAGCTGCCTATGTTCCTAGCCCTTTTCAGTTGCTGCTCCCCTTGCTGAATCTCAGAAAAGCCAACACATCTTTTTTTTTTTTTCCCCAGGAGGCCTTAAAGGTGGAAATGTGAGCTGTTCCCTTTTGGGGGGGTTAATTAGAATTATTTTATTCCTCTCTGGTGCTAAACTGTGCTTGTATTATGTTGTTTATTACAGAGAGGGCATATGTTAACCTTGATGACAAAAATGGGGTATGTAAACCACTCAGAGCTGGCATCAATTGGAGTGCCATAGGAAGCCCTGCAAATAAATAAATAAATACATGCGTTTAAAGCAGTTAATTCATCAATTAATTAATTAATCAATTCTGCATATGAATAAAACAGTTGTGTTGAAGGAAGAATACTTTTCTTCATACCTGAATCGCTAAAGGAATTAATGGAATAATCTGTATTTCTAATATCCAATGGTATATCTTAGGCATTAAGTATTAATATTAAATATTATAATATAATATAATATAATATAATATAATGGTATAAATATTAGGTAACAGAATTGCAAGATTCTGTTAATGTAACCTTACAATAAAGATAGAACTGGTACTCCTGGTGATGCTTCTTCTCTGGACTACCTCAAGGGGCTAACATCAATCTTGCAAGACTGACCGTATTTCTCCCCTCCTTTCCTTTTACTCTCCAGAAAACTAGGGAGGGTCCCTTTTCCATGCCCTCCCTCCTTCTGTGGGCTGAGACAGCTTTTACAAGCCGGTTGTCCTGTCTGGGGCTCTCCCTCCTGTCTCCCAAGGTCATTCCCACAGACCATTACAATTTGCTGGAACCCAGAAGCAGGACTTCTCTGTCACTGCTTCAGCCCTCCTGAGATCCGTATGGCCCCCAGCCTGACCTTAATTAACAACCCCTTCAAACTTGGTTGTCTTTAAGGCCTTGGGCTAACTGTGATGGAATGGTTTGGTGAAGAGGATGAGACTGGCACCACCCTAAGGAATTTGCAGTGTTTGCTTGCTGGCTTGGGGAGTTTAGATTCAGTCTGGCGAGATTTCTGTCTTGTAGGTGAAAGCTAATAAATGCTATAGAACCATATCTGTACTGCCTCGTAGAGTTCTTTGGGCTGAACCTGACATCAATCTCGCCAGACTCCTCCTCTTCACCTTCCCACGCTCTTTCCGGGGGCTAAGGAAATGCTTATCTCCCCGAGCGTGGCCTTCACCAAACCATTCCATCACACTAACCAAGGGTGGAGTCTTCCACAGTACTCCTGTCATGTGGGAATATGCCAAGTCTTCTGTGTTATACTACCTTTTGGACATGGTTGGTTTTTTATCAGTTTTTAACATTCTACACTGCCCAGAATTCAAATCCAACATGATTTGGATTTCTATCCCACTTTTCTAAGCTCTTTGCACAAAAAATAATTGGTTTTTGGGATTTGGGGATTAAAAAAGGACTGAGGTTGGGAAAAAGATTAAGATGATAATTACTCAATAGAAAGAACGTCAGAAGACATAATGGTATGTTTTTTTTTTCTTATCCCTTTCTTTTTCCTTTAATTCTTATTTTCAGTCCTTGCTTTTATTTGTTCTGTATTCTTTTATTATATTGAAAAACACTCATTTTATATATATAATATATATCAGTGTTTCTCAACCTTGGCCACTTGAAGATGTGTGGACTTCAATTCCCAGATTCCCCAGCCAGCATTTATACAGTACTGTGCAAAAGTTTTAGGCAGGTGTGAAAAAATGCTATAAAGTAAGAATGCTTTCAAAAGTATATACTGTAATTGTT